CAGCCTGCCATCGGAGGTGGTTCAAGCACCTACATTGAACACCGTCAAGAGCAAATTGGATGCTTATCTTGCTGGGATCCTATGACCCCAGCTGACTTCCTGCCCTTGGGGTGGGGGGCTGGACTCGATGATCTTCCAAGGTCCCTTCCAGCCCTAATGTCTATGAAATCTACATGTATGTGGTGATGCACCAATCTTGCAATCTAATTTAAGGCAGACAGAACAGAATAGACTGCCTGGAGTCATGAGTTTGATGTTAGGGTGGAATATGTAGTAACCAGGCTAGCAAGGCTTTCTTGTTAGAGAAGTTTGTGTGGGAGGTCTCTGGAGGCAAAACAAAAGGGGTTTCCTGAAGAGCAGACATGAGAGAGGAGAGAGTATGAAGAATAGGAGAGCTAAGATTTAGGCTACAGTAGGACACTATGGGGATTAAAAAGAGAGGGCCAAGCAACTGAAATGGGTGGTGAGGGAAGTAAGAGGAAGCCTCCAGAAGAACTGAAAGAAGAGTGACTTGTCTGCAACAGCAGGAGAGGGAAATGATTTCTGCATAGCATATTGTATGGGCTTGAGGGAAGGAGGACACAAAATATAGAGCTTTGTTTTTCAAATCTAAAGTGATTTGGGCTAAAATACTCACAAAAGTTCTGTAATCACAAAGTTTTTAAAAATGTCTCTTCAACCTTTATTTGAAAGCCACAGACCTTCGGCCCTGCCCCCAGTCTCTCAGCAGCCTAATTGTTATCCCTCTCTGCCAAACTGGGCTCAGCTGACATTTCAAGCAAGGCTTCGCTTAAGTTATGACGCAGGCATTGTTAAGTATCACAGGACTTTTGTTCCTTCAGCACTTTTCCCGACTGCAGTTCTTTAATGATGATTAATATCATGGCTCATTTAACGGTACCTCTTGAGCCTTATTATGAAGCAAAACCTCACTGAGAAACTGCATTGGTATGGAGTGTATCATATTCAAGTACTGTTGTGTCTACCAACAGAACAAAGTAATAGCTACAAAATAAGCAGTGAGGTACGACTGACATGGGCACAGTAACAACAGGAAGCTGAAGCTTTTCATCAGGAAGTATTTTGGGCTGGACATACTCTGGTTGTAGAACAGGTCTTGTTAACCTTTCACATGGATTTGTCCCCAGTTAACTAACTGTGTTAAGTAATTTGCATCACAGGAGCAAGTATAGTTCTGAATCAGGGTGGGGCTTGCTGTGCTCAGTGCAGTTTCTATCCCCAGACCTTACTGTCTTAGTTCAGGATGAGGCAGGGCAGTTGAAATGGAAGGATGGAAAGACAAAGTAACAGTAATAAAAACATTTTTTTTGGAGACTAGTAATGCACATGAGTTGTTGGTCCAGATATTGTTAGAGGACAAATCGGCAGTTCCACTGCTGGCAGTGCTCCACCGGCATCCAGGGAGAAGTGAATCCAAAAAGCATGGGTTTGGGGTTGAATCAAGGCATAGTTTTGACTATATGAAGTTTTAAGGTGAAAATTTGCCTCCATCGGTTGGTAAAGATGTAACATTCCACATGAATGATGCTAAGCATGCATGATGGTGTTTTGTCTCTGCTGGCCAGCACACACAGCAAATGAGAACCTTCTGCTCATTCACAACTTCTTTAGTGCAGGTATTAGGACCCTGTGTATGTAGCATGGACAGTCCTTAGTTCTGTCCCTTTTGACCCATAGTTCTTTCATTACATCATCTTAAGGTTAGACACCTCAGCCTTCAGTTCCACTCCTAACCATGTAAATCTGTGCAGGCCAAGTGAGAAGCTATCTCTTTATTTTGGATTCTGGCATACTGTACATACACCAAGAAATTTAGAATGAATGGTTCACCTGAAAGGCATTTATATTGTACATGACATAGCAAATCCAAATGATTCACAGTGTATCTGTTTATGTACCTGATAGGAAATAGCCCGTCACCTCCGGCCTGGAACTCTGCGTGCTCTTTTTGGTAAAAACAAGATTCAGAATGCTGTCCACTGCACAGATCTACCAGAGGACGGGCTGCTGGAGGTAAGGTTCTGGGAATATGATGGCCTAGGTCATAGCACAGGGTTCTTACCATAGAAAATAAACCTAGCATTTTTGGGGAATATTTAAACCCTGTTGTGTTTGCAGTCATGGTCCGGGAGTCCAGTGCTGAGTGGAATATAAAATAGTGGGTGAGTTGATTAATTCAATTACATGAGCAAGCTAGAGGCAGAATTCCAGTTCATAATAGTGCTTGAGGAACTCCACTGACACAATTGTCTCAAGAGATTATTGAACAATAAAAGGTCTCATTGGCTGGACGTAACCTAAAATAGGGACTCTGTTACCTAGCAGTGTTGCTACATTTATAAATGAACCCTTTCGCGGATGACACATCACTGTTGTGTATCTATGTTATCTACCCGGGCCCACTCCCCCCCACCCTTTGCGTTGGGCCCGCTCCCCCACCGCTGGCGCATTGGCCTGCAGTGTCCCAACCCCGCTCCCTCCCCCCGCCCTGTGCCACTGCTGTCACCTCCACCTCCAAGGAGTGGGGAGGGAGGGGCAAGCCAGCTCTGGTGGCCTCACCCTCCTACCCCGCTCTGCTCCATCACCACCGTTTGCAGGGAGTAGGGCAGGGGGACAAGGACAACTGTGCTGGCCTCCCTGCCATCCTCTGTGTCCCCACAATCATGGCAGCACTTTGCTGCACCGCCACCTCCTGTCCCAACACTGAATTCTCACTGATTGGTTGTTTCAGTTAGTCAGTCAGTGTGCAAATAAAGCATTATGGACAGACAGACAGACAGAAAGATTAAGGCTTTTATAATATTAGAATTAGGCCTGATCTGTACCTGTATCTGTATATTATCTTGGTAATTGTTATCTGTTTTTGACTTCTAGTATTTCATTTAAATTCAATAAAATAAAAAAACTTGAATTGAAGAACATTTATCTCAGACAAAAATACAAGTACCAGCAAAGCACTCTTGTCATGAATACGGTTTATACTTGCAAACCTGATCATGTACTGCATTGGTTCTCAACTTTTTTTGTACCAGGACCCATTTGTAAACATCAGTGGCCAGTCCCCACCCAGTGCCTCTCACTTCTGACCCACTGCTGCCCAGCCCCCCAGTGCAGCTCTGTTGGCCTGCAAGGGAAAAGACGCGGTTTTCCCACGTTTTTCTCCTTTAAAAGAGAATCCATTTTTAAAGGTTGTTAATCCATTTTTAAAGTGTGATTGCTACCCTTTCATATATTTTTGTGGCCCACTTTTGGGTTGTGACCCATAGGTTGAGAAACACTGGTTTAGTGCATAGCCCACTCCTGGTGAAATATGTTGACAAAAGTGTTGTTTTGCTAGTAGAGCTGCACCTACGTTAAGGGATTAGCAAGAACAGCTACATTGCTCAGAAAGTAGTCTGCTGAACAACATAACTCTTTCAGCAAATGTTGACTGGTCTGGGAAGGGGAAGCTGTACCCATATAAGTCACCTTTCTCCTGGAAAATCGTATCCCATCCACATTAGAAGTTTTGGTGCTATATAGCTCTACTGAATAAGGGGGGTTGATTTTTCTGTTAAATGATATAATTCTCAGATCACTTCCAAACAATTCTTTGGTATAGCTTAGGGGTTAGCAACATATGGGCTGTGGGCCAAATCTGGCCTGCAGTACCAGTAACTGTACTGGGGCCAGGCAACAAGGAGCTGTGTCCTTGGTCCACTGCTTCCTCCCTACTATCCAGCTGCAGTGCAGCTCCTCACTGGCTAGAAGCTGCACTTTTGCCACCACCACTTCTCCTATCCCCCCACTCCTGGCTGTAGTTCTGGCACAGCTTCTAGCTGGTGGGGAGCAATGCTGTGTCTGGGAGGCAGGGAGAAGCGGCAGCAGCGAAGACGCAGCTTCCGGCTCCCTGACTGGAAGTTACAGTTGTGCTGCAGGTGGGGAGCTGGGTGAAGCAGCAGACATGGAGCTGGGTGAAGTGTAGACATGGCTTCCAACTGCATGGCGTCATTGCAGATGCAGGAAAGCTTCCCACTACTGACATGTCACCTCCTTGAACCAGAGCTGGGTAGTTCTGGCCCATGGTTTGTTAAGGGTTACCAGCTGGGGGGAGCAGGGGGAAGCCAGGCAGATGCCTGCAGTCTCTGCTGGAGCTGCAGCTGGGGAGCAGAGGGGAGGGGCCAACCCTGCCCAGAGAGCATGCCAGGATGCTGGGGGAGTCTGGTTTAACTTAAGACAGCAAGGGGTCTGGGACAGACGTTACATAAACCGGTTTAACCCAAATCAGTTAAGTCTGATGCTATGTTCAACCAGGTTTATCTCAAACCAGTTTCAGCCATTTTCAGACTGGTTTATGTGCACTGAACATCTGTTCTGTTACAGATTTAAACCAGTTTCTGATCACTTAAACCAGTTTATGTGTAATGTCTATCCCTAGCCTATTAGAAAATGCAGGCTAGATTCACAAATGCACTCTGGCTGCTTTGCATTGTCTGATGATTCATGGGGGCTGTAAACCTAGCTTAACTGACTTGTTCCATGAGGTTTATAGGTGATACAAAGTGGCACAAAGCATTTAGACTGGGACTCTAGCCTTAACTTGGGCTTTGAAGAGGTGGTTTGGTCCCAGGGCCTTGACTGCATGAATTCAAATTCAGTTTTCTGAGATCCTCACTCCCACAGCTGATTCACAGACTAAGCATAGTATCCCATTATACTGAATTATGGTCTTAAGCATGTGATTTGCATTCCATTAACATCCATGCCTGTTACACTGCCATTCTGTTTCCTTTATCACTTTTATCATTGGCAATTTGTACTCATAACATGACTCTGGATCCATCAATTGTTCTCACTCAGCAATCTGAGCTTGAACCCGCAATAATGAGGAGCATCAATCAACACTGCTTTATTAATGAAGTGAAGCAGGGAATGTGTCTTTCTGATTGCTTGGCAAACGAGTATTATCATGGAAATGACAGGAGCCTTTCCTCTTGCTGGAATGCATGCACTTCTTTTAATCTCTGTTTTGTAACTCATGCAATTGACTGAAGACTCAGCTAACCAAAATAAAAAAAATAACTTGTGGATGCTTTTAGATTCTGGTATGTGCAAGAGCTTATCATGCTTGATGAAATAGCCACAAGATAATATGCACTTGGTTGATCCTTGGGAAAGACTCCATGAAAAGGATTACAGAGGAAAAGATGGACAGGTTCAGACAAGTTTTTTTGTAGAAAATTCCTAAAGTCTCCTAGAGTAGCACAAGCCAACACCATGCAGAAGTACCTGGAAGCAGCATACTATATTAGCATGGCCCCATGACCAAGCTAAAAAACCCTGCATTGCCAGGTTCCTGCAGTCCTTGGTGTGCCAGGGGGTGAATTTGAGCCACGTGACACTGCTCCAACAGTCATCAGGTCCAGACTTGATAGCATATATGTTATTCATTGCACATCTCAGGTTGCCTCTGACCCAAGGGCAGCCTTGTTCAGTGGCTAATCTTTACATCTCAGTTACCCCTACATTGCTCAGTGCAATCCCATTTATAAGTAACCTGTTTGCATTTTACAAGCTACTTTCTATCACTTTCTCCCCCTCCCCCTCACCCCTGAACTACCTTCTCACACCTATTGTCTCCCATTCCCTTTGAACCTCACTGCCATGCATTTGTATTTTCACAGATTTGCATTTTGCATATTGGCTTCTGCTCTACCCAGGAGAGCACAGTGGGCCCCTATAGTGGGGAATCTGCTCCGAGGTGCTGGAAATCCAGTGTATTGGAGCAGTCTTGATTAATCCAGTCTGCTGGAGCACAAAAACTGATGCCCTCTGGCAGCCTTCAGCATCACATGTATCAGCATCCCCGTACGTTCCTGCTGAAAAAATGGCAGCAGGGTGCTTTGAAATAAAACACATTTGAGCTTTAATTCAAAGTACCCTGCTGCCGTTTTTTCAGCTCAGGAGTGCCAATACATATGACGCATGGGTGCTTTTAATTAGCGCAGCTCGTTAATTAAAATACCTGGTGCCATGTCCCATAGCACAAGTAAAAATTCCCACATACACCAACATATTCACCTTATGCCTGAAGAAGGGTGTTTGTGCCTGAAAGCTTGCAAAGAACAATTTTTCCAAGTATTTAGTTGGTCTAATAGAAAATATCACATCTACACAAAGAACCTTGTATGCCTGTATCCCAATTATAATGCAGATGTGCTATAGTTCACTCCTGTTAGGGTGAATTTAGCCCAACATGCTTGTAGAAGGAGATCCTTAATCAATTTGTGCCTGTTGATTGGGGAAGGGGACTATTAGACTTATTGCAATAAAACCATGAGGTTCCAATCATGGCTAAGGCCCCTATTGCACTAGGTGCTGGACATGCACATAGCAAGAGACAGCTCTGTTCCAAGGATCTTATACTTTAAATGGATAAGATGGCCACAGGAAGACGGTCACCTCTGTTTTGAAGATGGAAAGGGTGGTTTAATTCCTAAATTGCTTGTGTTGGTTTGTGACCAAAATGAGATGGAAAAAGGGACATATGGTTACCTTCCTACCTTTTCCATGGACTACAGGTGACTAGTTGACCAGCATATACGGAGCTGAAGAAAAGGGAGAGTATGCAAGACAGAGGGAGAATGAACTTTTCCAGGAGGTTATTGGTGTTTTCCATAGGATCTGTTTAAGTATTCTTATTTCTACCAGCTGGTTATTAAGATTTCAGGAGGGATTGCCATATGCTGTAGTTTAATATTTACCTGAAATGGATATGAATGAAGAGTGGTGTTTGGAGCAATTACTTTTAGGCTTGACCAGAGATGGAACAAAATACTTTGACTTCTTTAAAAAAAAACCAAAAAACCCAAAGAGACCAAAATGAGTTCCTGAGGGCCAGGCCACATGCTCATTGAAGTCAATAGCAAACTTTTAATTGATCTTGATGGTGCAGAACCCTGAATTAGTTCAGGGCTACAGGGAAAGAGAAGACTCTGGCTTTCTTTCCACAAATAGTGTCCCAAAGGGACTGG